CATCGCTACTAGTAGCAAGAAGCCAGTAGGTTGGAGGCCATCGCTACCAGTAGCAAGAAGCTAGTAGGTTGGAGGCAAACGCTACTAGTAGCAAGAAGCCAATAGGTTGGAGGCCATCGCTACTAGTAGCAAGAAGCTAGTAGGTTGGAGGCCATCGCTACTAGTAGCGAGAGGCTAGTAGGTTGGAGGCCATCGCTACTAGTAGCAAGAAGCCAGTAGGTTCGAGGCAAACGCTTCTAGTAGCAAGAAGCCGGTAGGTTGGCGGCCGTCGCTACTTGAGGCCGAGGGTAGGTGACGAAAGCTAGCAGGGATGCATCCGTGTCAGTGGAGGCGAAGCATACAGCACCGTCCAGTGACAAAGGACTGGTGGGACATCAAGCGGAGTGAGGCAAATCTTTTTTCATAGGCATGGGGCTGTTGGAGGGATGGTTCACAAGGTCTCGCTCATAAGGTAAAACGTTGTGAACATGTAAGACACACGAACAGCAATGACACAGCCAACCTTAGCTTGTGAATCTGTCGAATCTGTTGCATCGTATCCCAAAACCTCCACAGAGGAGTTGAACCAAAGTGGATGCCATAAGAGGTGTCCAAGAGGTGTCATGCCCAGAGGCGTCCCAGGCGGGAGTTGAACCCGCGGGGGGGGGTGGCCCTTTACATATGAAGTTTTCACGTGATGCGGCGATCTCGAGGATTCCAGCCCCTCCTTGCTAAAGCAAGGACAACTCCAGCTAGCTGGTGCTAGCTTTCGTGACTAGTAGCAAGAAGCCAGTAGGTTGGAGGCAATCGCTTCTAGTAGCAAGAAGGCGGTAGGTTGGCGGCCGTCGCTACTAGTAGCAAGAAGCCAGTAGGTTGGAGCCCATCGCTACTAGAAGAAAGAAGCTAGTAGGTTGGAGGCAAACGCTACTCGTAGCAAAAAGCCAGTAGGTTGGAGGCCATCGCTACTAGTAGCAAGAAGCTAGTAGGTTGGAGCCCATCGCTAGTAGGTTGGAGCCCATCGCTACTAGTAGCAAGAAGCTAGTACGGTGGTGGCCATTGCTACTAGTAACAAGAAGCTAATAGTTTCTCTGCAGTCTGCTGCGCAAGAGTTCGAAAGCAATCGTACATCAACAGTCTGTCTGCAAACGCTGCGCGGAAAGCAGAGTCTACTCGGTTCCTGGCTGCTGCCATGAGTCACAACCACCGCGAGTCCTTGAAAGCTTGGCTTTTATTACTGTGGAACCAACTTACAGCATCTGACACCTGGGCTGCCACACACATGTTGAACTTGTTTGTAAAACTCATAGAAACAGTTATCTCTCATTGGCTCGACACCTCGGTCTTTCATTGGCTTGATACTTCACAGAAGTTCTGATTGGCAGATCAAGTGATCAAGCTGCCCTCCCAACCTGGAGGAGGTCGTGGCCCACCAACGAAATCAAACCTAAGAGAAGGCAAGTGGTGCAAGTGAGGCATCTGGCTACTCTAGGCGAATGAAACATGCTAAAAGGGTGCCCGGCTCTAGCTTTCCATGCCTCAGCAAGAGCTTCGAGCCTAGTCTTCCCTCGCACAACCCTTCAAGATACCATGACGGAATTCTCAGGGCTTGGCAACGGCAGCTGCCAATCCGGCATCGACTTGAAGTTTGGTCTGCGGCCGTCGAAGAGCTCATTGCGAACCTAGCATGTCCGACAGAGAGACCTATTGACGCTTTCTAATGGACACCTTGATTCTTCGTCACGTCTTGCCCACTAGGTCAAGGCCTGCGACTGATTGCCTTTCTGGGAGTTGTCCACCAACCCCTGACCTCAGTTGTTAAGCACCAAATTTGACAATCATGTCCATGCTGTCCAAAACTGCCGGGTGGCCTGAGTCTCACTGAGTTCATGGCGCATGGCAATGTTTGTCTCCCATCTGTCAAGGACTCTCAAGCTCTCGACCTGGGAAAGAAGCACTGCTCGACTGCTTCCCAAAGTCACAAACTGTTCAAAGAAAAGGAGCGGCATTCTACATCAACATCAAACAGCCAAAAATATTGTTTACACTCTTGACTAAATTGATGTTTGTTATTGTCCACACACTCCTTTGCAAAATAGTTGTGCCAAAGCCCCGGACAATATGAAAATCACATGGCTCCTCCATCACCAGTGCATAGTGCATCGATGGATTGGTAGGAGTGAAGGTCAGTGACAACATCCTTAGAGTGCGCTGCTCTCATCTGCAGAATCTGAAAGGCTTCAGCTGATTTCTGGGTCCCCTGCGCACGCCGCTGGTTCTGAAAATATTGAACCTGCAGTCAAGTCTCTGCTTGTTGGAGCTTGGTGAAGAAACGCACAGCTCGCAAACCAAACCTTGCTGCTTGTCAGGAGGCTGCATAAGTAGCCTGCGTTCTGATAGCCAAGTGTGTTTTCCAAGGGCGGTAAGTCTCACCAACCCTGCCAAGGTGCGACCCAACTTGGAGGAAGCGGTTGTATGCAGAAGCCTCCAAGACTCAACTCTAACTGCCTCATAAACAAGAACCACATTGACATGATGATGGCTCTGATAGTCTTCTGTCCCAAGGCCTCAGAATTATAGTTGGCACCATCATAGACTTGCCCAAGTTACCTCAGTAGACAGAAGCAAACATGAATTCAAGTCAACAAAATACAGAACCAGAGCAGCTGGCACAGCATCTCCACATGGGTAAAGTCCAGGACAAAGTTCTGCAGCAACGAATAGAATTGTGCAAATGTCAACGATTGGCGCCCTGAAAACTGGTGTCGTTCATCACAACGACATGTTGGCTTCACCTAGCATATCTATGGCAAAAGCAGTGAGGACACATGGCAAACCCCACACCTTTGCCAGTGCATCGATGAGGGGAAGCTTGTCCTCGCCAGTGCAATGAACCAAACAGACAGTGGCTGTGAGTAAATGTTCATTTACAGAAAGGTAACTTCCTTTGTGTTTCTTTGTCCAAAATCTTTAAGCTGTCTTTCCTTCCTTCCTTGCTTTCATTCTTGCTTTCTTCCTTTCTTTTCCTTTCCTTTCCCTTCCCTTCCCTTCCCTGCTCTTCCTTTCCTTTCCTTTCCTTTCCTTTTCGTTCTCTTCCTTTCCTTCTTTGTACTTATTACTTAATTACTTAATTACTTGATTACTTACTTACTTACTTACTTACGTACTTACTTATGTTCTTTCTTTATTAATTTCATTATATATTTCTTTCGTTCTTTTGTTCTTTCTTTCTGCCGTCTTTCGTTCTTTATTTATTTATTGTTTATCTTTTTTCTTTCGCTGTTTCTTTCCTCATATAGAATAGGTCCTGAAGAGACTCAAAGATTGGGATCATGAGCCTCGTGTTGCTGTCACTCGCGCGCAAATGAAAACTAACCTTTCAAGCACTCATGACAACCCGTTGAGGTTCGGGCACAGCTTTTTCCATTTGCAAACGAACTTTGCACATCTTGAGGCGCTCGGTCAACCTTATGCAACAGCAGCAGGTGTAAAGTACTTAAGGCTTTCCTCCGAAGTTGCCTCATGGGCTATCTATTGGCCATTGTGATGGCCCAAACCATGGTTTCATGCCGAGAGAGTAAACAGGTGCTGCTAGCTTTCATAATGGGGCTAATGTGTTGCAGTGTTGCAAAAGCCATTCTTCAGCCAGGTCACGCGGCAGATGTCCCCTCGGGCTCCTGGCACAGAACTCGAAAGAAGACAATGCCGTAAGTGCATGATACATGTGGCCTGTGAGTATATGAGGCATTGCTGATGGGTGAAGGAAGCTTTGAGTTCATCTACGATTGAAAATGGACGGAAGCTCATCTACGAATCTACAGTCTAAGTGAACATTCCCAACACTTCCAAACATTCAACCGGTCCTGGTAGATATCCGGGCTCTGGGCTTTTGTGCTGCTGAATGTAAAGCTCAGCCGTCCACTGCGTGGCACCTGGAAGATGCCATCCTCATCTTCCGAAAAAGACGGCAAGGCAGATGAGCACTCGGTGAACGCTTGCTTTGCAGACAAGTGCAGCATCTTACAGTACTTCAAGAGCATCCGCAGGATTGAGCGATGAAACGGTAACGCCAGATTCAAGGAATAGACGCCTTCAGGATTGGCGAGCTGAAATGGTTGTCCTCTCAAATCTCCGACGTCAAAGCTCTCTGTGCAATGCAAGCGCTCTATCTTGGAGATTGCGAACATTCTCAGCATAGAGTGAGCACCAAGGGCACCGAAGGGATTCCTAGAGACGTCAAGTTCATGGAGGCTGGGATGTTGGCCAAGTGCATCTTCCAAGATCAATGCCGCCGTCAAGTCCAACCGGTTGATCGAGATATCTAGATATGTCAAACTCTTGGCTTTGCAAAGGCACTCCAACATTAGGTTGACGGGCTTAAATGGCTTGGCCTGGTCACCCTGGCGATCTAGATCTGTGGTGTCAATGTTTGCTGACGAACAATTTGACATGGAAAGAGACCTAAGATGCACGTGCGCCTGCGAAACGTAGGTGCCCACAGAGCCAAAGACCTCGTCCCCAAATGCATTCCAGCTCAAGTCTAATCCTACCAAGGTATTGCATCTGAAGAGCGTCTCCAAGCATTTCTTTGCCACAGGATTGCTGCCAAGCCCAATATCTGCCAACATCAAGCTCTCCAGGTTGGAATGCTCTCCCAGAGCCAAGAAAAAGTCTTGCTGGAGGCGAACAGGCAATGGAATTCCGCTTACATCTAGAGTCTTCAGGTTGGTCAATCCATCTGAGTTTGAAACAAGACGGATGATTTCCTCAACAGAAGATGCACCCAAGCGAAAGCACTGGCGCAAACTCAACCGTGTCAATGTTGAACATGCTGGATTTCTCCTCATCTTTTGAAGCAAGGGAACTAGAGACTTGTCCGTAAGAAGGGTGTTTGCGCTTAGGTCAACCTCATGAACTTCTGGGACTGCGCGGAACATGGTCGCAACGGGGATCATGTCGCTGTCTGCCAAGGCCCAGTTGGCCGCATCAAGTTTGGTGGAGCCAGATGTAATGAAGTCCAAAGGTGTGGGCAAAATGCTGCCTTGCTCACATGCAGTCATATACCTCGCCATGGGTTCAACTGCTTTCTGTTTTGCAGCTGCTTCTGGTTTCCACATCTCCGTGAAAGTTGTTGCCATGGCAGTATCTCTTTGACGACGCTCTGGCTTGCCGAATCCCCCATGTCGAGTGTGTATTGATGGCAGCGATGTTGATTTCCCAAGTCCCACTTCCATGCGCACTGTTGTCTTCACGCACTTAGACGAGGTAGCTGGCTGGAAATGCTTCAAGTTGGTGGAGGATCTTATATCCCACCTTCCCTGGCTGGAATCATCTGCTTGACGAAGCTTTTCTCCAAGGTTCCAACGCTGGTTCTTTCGCTCCCTGGCACCCCGTGAAATCCAGGAGTGTTTGCTACGGTCAACTGTCAATTCAGGCTTCAGAGAAACTCGGTCACCTCCTTTACCAGCTGCAGTTTCAGCAATCTGCCAGAATCGGCACTGCGTTTCCAGCAGAGAGGTGCACTGTTTGCTGCTCATATCCTCCATCACTTGACCTACTGGAACCTCCCGCGACACCTGGGCAGGTCGATAGTTTTCAAAAAAGCGTTTCACCTTCTCTCGCCGCAGTTTCTTGGCAGTCGCTATGTCTTGAAGTTGCGATTCCACATCACGAACTCGAGGCCCGAGTATAGTGTTGATCACACTGCGCAAGCACACAACTTTCTGGCGCGCCCTCAAAATTTTGCGTACTGCGCCTCTAAATTTGCCAGATAACTTGCAAGAACGGTTGCCGTCTTGTTTATCTCGGACAGATTTCAAAGCCAAAGGCAATAATTTGTCAAAAAGACGCTCTTCTGGGGTAGCAACGTAGCCTGCTGCATCTGGTTGCAGAACTGGAATAGGAAACAAAGGCCCAAAACCCTCAGCATCCTCTGGTTCTTGTGAAGCCACGGTCTTTTCCAGGCAAACTTCCATCACATCAGAAGCATCTCGTGTCTTTCCACAGGTGCTTGCAACAAACCCACCTTTTGTTGATGCACGAAGTAACAAACAAACAAAAAAATCAACTGGACGCATACCTTTTACAGCATGAAAAGTGTGCATTGTTGGCAATGATTCTTGAGTCCAGCTTCGACACAACAACTCTTACAACCCTATGTCCTTATCAATCACGGCTGGATTGCGAGCAAAATGGTCCGAATTTTGGCCTGCCGGTCCCTCGTGTCATTAGAAAACGTCAACTGTCTCCAATACAAAATACGAACCACTTCATCCCAAACTACTGAAAAACACTATCCGTAATTCATGCCAAATTAAAAATAAGATGTTGACTGGCTTGTATGCAGCTTTTGTTTGTGCACAAACCCTCTGCGTAGACTCCATGCATAAGATTTACACAGGCCGCGCTTGCGAAACCATTTTTCGGAACTCTTCCCGGAACCTGATTTGCATCGTTCCTGTGGAACTTTGGACGTCAACACTTGCAAGTTTTGGCCGCGCAAACATCGGTTATGAACCTGCAAAGGACACCTACAAATGAAGTTGCACGTGGAAGTTGCTTTAACATTGGAACCTTGATTGAAATTAACCGTCACTGTCAGATTTGGTGTCTCACATACAACTTGAGGGGGAAACACGAAAGGTAGAGACGGACCGAGTAGCTGTCGGGACCTTTTCTGGTGAGGGACTGCCTCCGGTGTTTCAGGAACGTGCCCCTTGGTCAATCATGGATGAAACCAACAAAGCCAGAGAGCACAAGAAGGCATAAGAAGGCTCAAGAGGAACTCCGTTGCGGTCAGATTGCGCCACACGGCTCTGCAGAGAGGCTGCGTTGCGTCGACGCTCGTTTGTGTCTAGGTGTGTGAAAACAGGCGCGCGTAAAAGTCGCAATGCGTAAACGCTCGCATGTGTACCAGCTATGGTCCCACAGCTGCACGCACTGTGTCAGGATTACAGGCCTGCACGCGTTGCGTCGAAGCCGCAGTGACTCAGTGACCAACCCCCTTGTAAGGATAGTGCTGGAGGGGTGCGGCCGGTACTGCCAGGGATGGACGTCATGCTATGGTGGGTGCGCTCCACGATGCGGTAAGATTTCGCCACGCTAGGGTATAAGGCTGAGTCGAATGGTGTTCCGCGACGCGAGAGGTTTCTCCACAGGGCTTTGCAGAGAGGCTGTGTTGCATCGATGCTCGTTGGTGTCGAGCAATATGGTCTGTGAACGCAGTACGCGCTGTGTCAGGCTGCCGGGTGCGCACGCGCGGCATCGAAGCTGCATTGCGCGACCTCATTGCGCAGGGTTCGTGCTGTATTGCCCAACCTCATGGCCAGCGTCGTACTGCTGTGACTGTTAAGCGCATGACTTCACCTTATGTCCAGAATTTAGTAGTGCTGGCGACGAGGGGAGGGGACGGGGAGGGGAGTGGAGTGGAGGGGTGAGGGGTAAGTTCCCCCAGAAGTGGCAGTTGGAATAACTGGACCTGATCGAAAACACCAAGCAGTCAAACACAAGCGGTCGGTGTGCGAGCTGCGGCGAAGCACACCTTTTCTATGGCAGTGAATGCAGTATTGGGCTGCTGAGTCTTGAGCCACTTGAATTATGTCGAAAGCGGACTGAAGAGCTACAGATAGATGTATGTACAAGAACAGGTGCTACACACGTATAGCGTAGACACGCCCAGGGGAACCTAGGACCCTACTAAACACAAAACAGACACAAATTTTCTTCGCGTCGAAGCTTACGATCTCTAAAGTACAAAAGGTTCGCAAAACGTTGCAAATGAATTCGAAAAGTTCTGACTTCGCAGAACTCAACCGCAGATGCCATTCTGGCTCATCTATATTGCGTCAGATAATCTTTACAAATCTACGAAAGGCATATTTGCTGTATCGAACGTTCCGGAATGTCGGAAATCTTCTCTCTCAAGTCAAATCATCAAATTGAAGTCTAATCTATAAGGCCTTAAGTTCAAAATTATCTGGGTCATTTTACCTGCATTTAGCCTTGTGGCATTTATCTGGCAGTGCTCTAGCCGGTATATCGGCTTCTTAGAGCAGAGACTACCTACCAGTCCCTGTAGCCTCGGTACCCGGGGTTCCAAGATGACGAAGAGGAACCGGTGTACCACCATGAGCTTGACGCTCCCGAGGACCAGGGCTGGTGCCAGCCAGCTTGGCGAGCTTGTTTCTTCTGCCGAGACTGTTCCTTCAAACGTTCAGCCGCTCGGCATTCTTCTCGCCACGCTTCTCGGCGGATTGCTGGCCACGAACTCTGATCTTGTGTCGGCTGGCAAGCGAAAAATTGCACTGAAATGGATGACGGTATCCCAAATCGCTGCTCTTCAGACACAGATCAAGATGGTTCAGGTGCTTGAGGAATTCGTTGACCTTAATGGTAGTCTCTTTCTGGCGTGGAGGCTCCTCATATCCGACACGTCCACGATCATCCGGAATATCGGATGTTCTTGACCGCAACGTATGCATGTCCTTGCCGTAATTTAAGGCGATCTGCCACACGCAGTCGCAATCGGCATCCAGACCTTCCAAAGCAGCGAGCTGCTCACTGGCGAGGGTTGAGACCTCCCAGTTATAGGTGATGCGCTTACTCGGCTCGCGCTTCTTGTTCGCAGAAACAAGAATCTGGTCAAGGATGGTTAGGACTGCTCCGGTTCCTGGATCGGCATGTCGATCGCCCCGGAAGTTGCGGTTCGTGAACTGATTAGCATCGCACGCGATGACGTCCACCTGGTCTGCCACGGCCGTGATCAAAATCTTCATGATGGCGTTCTTGCCGGCCGTAATACCTGACTGAAAGGCATGAGCATTGATGTGGAAAGCGCAGACTCGAAGTTCAGGCATGTGCGTGCGCTTGCAATCATTCAAGCTCCCGGTCCGGAATGTCGGACACTCGTGGAACAATGCCTCTGCATCCACTGGCGAAGCTTCAATGTATGTGGTGGATGCTTGTGCTACAGCTAATGTGTCAGGGCAGACTGTTGCCTCCATGTTATTTGCTGGATCAGCGCCTTCTTCAAGGGCAACACGGAGGTTCTTTCGGACGCCACGGTCATCGGTGATGCCTCCATCTGTCTCTTCTTCGACCTTTCCCCAGATCACGCGGAATGTCGCGGCATGGGCTACCCAGGCTAACCGTTCGCCTTCAAGTTCAATCCTACGAATGAGCTCCAGCCTTGAAGTGCCAAGTGGATCACTGGAGCATACGGCTGCGATAGCGGGAGATTCGCCATCCGATGTAGCCAACACGCACAGGCATTTGTATTGGTTAAAGAGCTCTCGACGACGCTCGATGCCGTTGGCTTCAAGAAGGATTGTGATATGGGCTGTGTTCCTGACAAGGTAATGAGGAAGCACATGGTATTGATCGGTCTCGGCGAGATCCCTGGATAGCGGCTGCCTGCCGTTGAAATGAGGTGTACGATTGATATCGCCGAAGTTGAGAAGCAGGACACTGACGTGCTCAGTGGACCGGAGAAGCCGGGCTTCAGATTCATCGAGGTCAAATACTCCCTGGTTCGCGCGATATCCCTGCATGTACGAACGGCTTAGCTCGACAATCTGTCGCATCTCCGCGCCGGTATATCGGCGATTGGAGTCGTAATAGCAGCTTGGCCGAATGATTGGGTATGGCGCCACATCAGACTGTTCGTCCCAATGTTGAGCAATCGAGGGAATGGTACGGCTCCTGTAGGTTGGATGGTTCGTGTAATGGTATTTGCTGACTCCTTTGAGTACAATTCGATCCATCGCGGCATAACCTGTTGAGCCGCCACGGTGCAATCGACCGACATGACGGTCGTCAGGATGCCAACCCTCGGACTCGGCTGCGAAGGGAATCGTGAAATCAATTTCTGCAGTGATCTCTTCGCGCTCGTGCTCACCCAGCGGTGCCGGCATATCGGCGTCTGGGACGGTCGAACAGAGATAAATGCTGTTGCAGGAACAATGGTTACTGGCATCGTGGTAGCAGTCAAGGCATGTTCCATGTCGACATGCTCTGCAGAAGAAGAGTACTTCAGCATTTGCACAGGCCAAACAGGTCATTTCATCTGGGCGATGATGGAATTTAGTTGGTGCTTTCTGTGCTTTCCTTGCATCGCTGATGACCTCCCGCGCCCGCGATGTCGCACGTTTCTTGGATGTTGCTTCGATGTACTTCGTTTCCGGAATATCGGAAAACGAAACCCTGCGACTCTCGGACGGAGTGCGGGCGGCTCCCGGCGCATTGTCAGCCTTCTTAAGGACAGTACGAGACGGGGTTCGTGACCGTGCACGGGAGGACCAGACCCTTGTGCTCTGCTTCTCTTCTTTCTTGACTGCTGCAGACGATGAGGCCGCTGCTGAAGGATCGTCTAGCATATCGGACTCTTCCTTCTTCACAGTGCCTTTCTTGACCCAGGTGCCTTTTTGGCGTGCTTCCGCGAGGTCGTCCACCATGGCTGCGTCTAAATTGCTTATGACCTGAACTTCATCATCGTCGTCTGCCGGAATGTCGGCATCGATGTCCATGTCGTCATCATCGTCTAGATCAATCAGGTCATCTCCCTCTTCCTCGGTCGTTTCCGACAATGAGCGCTTCTTAAGACGACGCATGTTAGTGGCTTGATCCTTCCCGTCGTCGTCGAGGGAGAGAAAATTCAGCCATGTCTCAGCGTGGATCTTGGACATGCCGTGGAGCTGATGGCGGTCAAGTTTCTCTTCGGCCTCATCACGCCATGCCTCGACCTCGCGAATCTTAATATTCTTAAACGCAAGCCGCCTGGTTTCAGCCTTGAACTTATCGTGGCCTTTGCCTACCAGCCTCAGTACCTCACAATAGAGCTGAGAATAAAAACGCAAGTACGGCTCATCGGGTACTGACATGGCTGGAGTGGAATCTGGGACATCCCACAGCTTAGTTGACACGCAGCAATTGTTCCGGATGTCCCATGCAAGGCTGAAAAGACCGGCCGGAATAACGGCCTTGGTCAAAAAGTATCCATTCTTGCTCAGGCAAAAATCTTCCAT